TATGGAGTCAAACTTAAAGTTCATAAAGATGAATTACTACCCAGTGTACTGGATAAAGCTTATGAGGTTTATTGATCTATTATGTATATCTGTTTATTCTTTCATTTTCGTTCATTTCTCCTCATCAGTTAATGGAATTAGCTCCTCATATTCCTATTGAGAGATGCCGTTTAGTTAAATATAATTATAAGAATAAAGTAATGCAACAGTCCTTTGATGAGGTAAGTTTTATCTATCCTATTGTTACAATTATCTTATTATTAAATTTAGTTTCAACATCAAACTATTGGACAGATTGTAGGTAGGGCTGGAGATTATTGCTTATTCTTAGAAACTCGTAAAGAAAATGAAACCTTTAAGAAATACAGTTATGGAGGTGGGTGTGGTTTGTTACCATGACAACACCTCTGATTACATGTACATGTGTTTGATGGTATAGGTATTAATCTAAAGGTATCAGTGGTTGATCTGTCAACTGGTGAAGTAGGACCAGCTAAACTAGTGAGAGGAGAGAAATTTTGGACTGTTGAAGAATTAAAAGAACATATAGGAGAAGTAAGAGGAAGGATATACTGTCATTTATTTTGATCTCCTTTCATTGATCTGGTCCATTTCTTTATGTAGTTATTTAATATCAAATCATCATGTATGAGAATAGTATTGGATGAAGGTTACAGGAGTGATTCATTCCATGATATTAGTGATGTTGGAGGCACTGGCAGTCTAATATCAATACTCGGCATCCGCCTTATTATATGCAAGCAAGTAATGAAATCATTGGTGTGGTTCTGTTTTTGTGACTAATCTGCCTTTATTAATTCCTGCTAGCAATATTTCACCTTATACAGTAGTTAACTACCGTATAGCAACAAATTTTCATGGCCCAAAATTGTTGTGGATGTTGCATTAAAAAAAATCCAAGAAAATAAAATACGTGAAAATTGATTCAATACGGTTCAAGATGGCTGAAAAGTAGAAAACCACAAAAATTAAAGATTTTTGAATGGATCCCCGAAATTTTTGGGCCACAAAATTTTCCGCTATACGGTATTTTTTTATATTTATGCCATCTACCGTTCTCCACGCAAACACAGTTTTATGTATCATCAGATCCTAAAGATTATCAAAAAAAATTCAAAAATAGTTTGATGTACAAATATGTTAACTTTCACATCAAATGGATCATACAACTGAAGATTACACTACCTCCGGCTCCTGGACCTGAAGCCACACCCACTACAACTAACGTTACTAAAAGAGGAACAATAATGAAAATTACATCAATGAATGAAGAAAATAAAGAAAAAGAAAGAAGTAAATATTAACTTGTATTATATTAAAAAGATCACTTTTAATATTATATTATTCAATACAGAGATACAGGTACAAGTTGATAAGAGAATAACATTAGCTCAATTGAAGGAGGAGCTAGTTCCGCTGATTGGTGTACCAACTACTGGTTTTATAGTGTATAGAATCAGATGGAATGAAGAATATGAAATGAAGGGGCTGTATGAGACATTAGAGTATAATTACTCTGAATCAGAGACTGAGGTATAGTTTATTGTGTTATTTGATTCACTTCTCCTTTCCATTATATACTATTATAAGTACTAATAACACACACACACACTCATCTCTTTATTACTTTGTGTATCTACTAGTTGATAGTAAGACTGGGTAGACCATTAGGAAGAGGAGAGATAAGAATTAAATTATATTTATTACAAGTTAATAATACAGAGGTATAGAATATTCATTATTATAATTAATTTATATTTTATTTTATTTTTAGTTTTGTAATTTTATAATGGAGTCTATTGTTACTAAGGATACAACAGTGAGAGAATTTAAGAAACAAATTATTGAAGAAGCAAAAGTACAAGGAATTGACTGTGTCCTTGAATTAGACAAGTAAGTACATCATGTGACTATCATGTGACTCATTGTGTAGAATGAGATTACGTAATAAGAATGGAG